CTGCTACCCATTAATTTCATTTGGTGTCCTCTAGTCCTTATATTGTGGGAACTAATGAAGAAATTTTCTTTATGCACCCTCTCCGCACCACTCATGATTTTATAGATCTCTATCATATCCCTCCTCAGTCTCCTCTTTTCTAAGCTGAAAAGTCCCAATCTCTTTAGCCTCTCTTCATATCGGACCTGTTCCAAACCCCTGATCATTTTAGTTGCCTTTCCAAGGCCAAAACATCTCTTTTGAGGTGAGAAGACCACATCTGTACACAGTACTGAAGATATGGCGTACCATAGTTTTATACTTCCCCTCCTCCTTCTTCCCCTGGCTTCCCCCTTCCAGCTCCCTCCTCCCAGGTTTCCCCCTCCCCTCTCCCACCCTCTCTCTTCCCCTCTCCCACCTCCTTTTCCCAGTCTCCCCAGAGGTTAATCTCCCCCCCCAGTTTTGTTAAATAAAGAGAGTTTCTATTTTTGAATACGTGTCCTTTATTTTTTACATCAGGAAGGGGGGCTAGGGAGGGGTAAGTGGAAGAAAGTGAGGGAGGAATGGGGCACGAGCCCCTGATGGGGAGGACTGGGGTGGCTCTGCGGGCTCCTTGGGATGGAAGCTGTCCTGCAGGGCCTCCTGGACCTCCCCCCCGCCCCGATGGCAGCCTGTGGCAAGTGCAGCCGGGCTGATGGCCGAGTGCTGTGATATGCCGAGAGAGGGCACTCAGGGCACTCCAAGTCAGGACTGCTTTGGTGTCCCTCATCGAGTTAGACAAGAAAGCGGGGAACCCTGAGAACTGTCTGTCCGGGTGGAGTCGGGTCCCTTTAAGCACAGCCCTCAGCTAGCCTGAGGCAGCAGGTCCACGCTCTAAGTCATAACCTGATACCCTGCCGGCACTGGTTCCGGCCAGCCTTAACTTCGGTTCAGGGTCCACTCAATGTGGACATGCTAGTTCGAATTATCAAAACGCTAATTCGAATTAGTTTTTAGGTCTAGATGCACTAGTTCGAATTAGCTTAATTCGAATTAGTGCTGTAGTGTAGACACCTGCCCTTAGACTGTCTCAGCTAAATACAAGATTGAATATATTGTTTAGCGTAAGTAGTTACCACATATTCTAAGGGGCCATTCCAGGTGACGTGGCCCATTTACATACTTGTAGTCATAGGACAAAAAAGGAGCATTAATTGTTACAGATTGTTGTAGTAAGTTCTAAATCCAGCATCTTTATTAAGACCCTGATTTTAAGTGTCTAGTAAAGTTCTGAATTTAAGTTTCCAGACTTGTCTTTTGAAAGTGGATCTTGTATTTAGCTGTGGATCTTGTATCAGGAAGAGCTGTGTCTTTCTCAGCAAAAGATGTTGGTCCAATAAAAGGTATTACCTAACCAACAATTTTCTCTAATAACCTGAGGCACTTTGACCATAAGTTCATCATTATGATTTTGTATATGTGTGAAACTGATTTAAAACGCAGTGACATCCTAACATTGTAGTTGTAACTCAGGATGAGTACAAATCAAAACTTTGTACTTGAACCCAACCAAACTTCTGAGAAATTATGATCTACCCAAAATTAGATGTTTGGGGGCATAGGGAAATAATTAAATCTAGGCTAATTTCAAAATGAAACTTCATTTTGAAATGAAAAATGGAATTGATTCATTTTGAAAACGTTGAAACAAAACACTTTGACTTTTTTGAAATGTAAAACAATTTTTTGCCCAAAACTTTTTGACAAGTTCAACTCGCATTTGCAACTATTTTTGGTTGTCTTAAAACTTCATTTTTCCATTAATAAATTGTTTGTCTGAAATGTTTTGCCTGACTCTGGTTGTATGGTATGCCTAGCTCTGGTTGTATGATATGAGAATTTCATGAAACCTTCAGTCATGATGAGGTAGACAACAAAACAGAGACGATCGTAATAGTATATATACCCTTTGTGGTTATACCTATAAAATAGGATGTGGTTTGGGCTATTGAGAGGGTAGAGACTAAATCATTTGTTTAAGGATTACATAAGAACATAAGAACAGCGTTACTGGATCAGACCACAGGTCCATCTAGCCCAGTATCCTGTCTTTTGACATGGCCAATGCCAGGTGCCTCCAGAGGGAATGACTAGAACAGGTAATCATCAACTGATCCATCCCCTGTTGCCCATTCCCAGTTTATGACAAGCAGAGGCTAGGGACACCATTCCTACCCATCCTGGCTAATAGCCTTTGATGGACCTATCTTCCATGAATATGTCTAGGTCTTTTTTGAACCCTGTTAAAGTCTTGGCCTTCTCAACATCCTCTGGCAAGGAATTCCACAAGTTGACTGTGTGTTGCCTGAAGAAAAACTTCCTTTTGTTTGTTTTAAACCTGCTGCCTATTAATATCATTTGGTGGCCCCTAGTTCTTATGTTATGTGGACAAGTAAATAACTTTTCTTATTCACTTTCACCACACCAGTCATGATTTTATAGACCTCTATAATATCTTCTTTTATTCTTCTCTTTTCTAAGCTGAGAAGTACTAGTCTTTTTAATCTCTTCATAAGACTGGCGTTCCAACCCCCTAATAATTTTGTTGCCCTTTTCTGAACTTTTTCCAAGGCTAAGATATCTTTTTGAGATGAGGTGTAAGCAGTATCCTAGATTTGGGAGTACCGTGGATTTATTCAAAGGCAATAAAACTGTCTTATTCTCTACCCCTTTTTTAATATTTCCTAACATTCTATTTGCTTTTTTGACTGCTGCTGCACATTGAGTGGATGTTTTCAGCAAATTATCCATGACTCCCAAGATCTCAATCTTGAGTTGTAATAGCTAATTTAGTCCCCATTATTTTGTACGTATACTTTGGATTATGTTTTCCAATGTGCATTACTTTGCATATATCAACATTAAAATTCATTTGGTAATTTGTTGCCCAGTCTTCTAGTTTTGTGAGATCCTTCTGAAGCTCTTCACAGTTTGTTTGGTCTTAACAATCTTTAGCAGCTTAGTAAAATCTGCAGCAGTTTAGCATCATCTGCTTTCTGTGCAGGAGAATAATTGATAACAGAAAACTGAATTTCCAGTGCCAGAATGTTTTTTCTGTTGCATACCAAAGTAAAAGATCCAACAAACAAGAAAATACAAAGAGAAAGGAAATCACTTGATTTTCCATTTCAAGGATCTCCAATTTCTGGGCAACCACCAACTCTTGCTTTCTAATGAAGACAGTACAGGAGAGCAGGGCTAACATATGAAAGTTGTAAGAGAGAGTTGATGTGTAAAAAAGGAGTGAAGTGGTTCGTCTCATCGGCCCAGAAGAAGCCACTCCTGGTTAGATAAGTGTAAATATAGAGTACAGGCAGTCCCCGGGTTACGTACAAGATAGGGACTGTAGGTTTGTTCTTAAGTTGAATTTGTATGTAAGTCGGAACTGGTACATATTGTAGGGGAAACTCTAGCCAAACATTTTTTTTAGTTTTGGATAGCATAGGGAAAGGTTAACTCCCCTCTAATGTTTGTTTTGCTGTCTGTTCCCCTGTTCAGAAGATTTCACATCTATTTCTGTCCCTGTGACAAACTCAGGACTAAAAGAGTAACTCATCAAATACCAAACAGCTCTGCACCATGCTTTGAGCTAATAGCTTTATTTCCACACACCACCCAGGGTTCTAGGAGGAGGGTCCTTTTTTTGCTAACACAATGAGGCCAGCACTTTGTTTGTTTTGGTGGAGTCTTTGTTTGCCCAGGGAGCCCAGCATGTATAGGGGGAGGAGGGGCGGAGAGGCTGCTTTTGTCTGCTGTTCGGCAGCCTGTTGCTCAGGGGAGGGGGCAGCGGGCGTGGGGAGGCACTTTTCCTCTGCCCGGCAGCTCTGCGGGA